AGCAGCCACTGCACTCCAGGCTGGGCAACAGAGTGAGACTCCAACTCAAAAAAAAAAAAATCTATCACCAAAGGATGCAAAGTGTTAAATGTTTTTGGCAAAACTAGACTGTACCAGCATCACTGCAAACCAGCGTATGGCACTATTCAGCTACTCACTCTATGCTGTATGTGACGCCGCGTGTGTGCTGTATCGGATCTGACTTGTGTGTCTGACCATTTTTCATCTAACATATCTCTTGCTCCCCCACGACACCACCCTTCTCCCTGTTTGTACTCACTCCAAGGCCAAGGGAACGTGGCAGTTGCGAAGCCAGCAAGCATGTTGGAGCCACGACAGACCTAAGTTTGAATCCTGGCTCAGTGATTTATTAGCTGTCTCTTTGCTCAAATCGCTTGACCTCCAGACGCCCTATCTGTAAATTAAGTTTTTTAAGATCGCCTATAAAGCTCTTAGAGCCAAAAGTAAGGAACTCCAGTGTTAGTTTCCTCCTATTTATATACCATAATGCTTTACTTAAAAATAAACAAGGGGGCTGGGCTCGGTGGCTCAGCCTGTAATCCCAGCACTTTGGGAGGCCAAGACAAGTGAATTGTCTGAGTCTGCGGGTTCAAGACAAGCGTGACCAACTTGGTGAGACCTTGTCTCTACAATAAAAAGTAGCCGGGCATGGTCGTGCACGTCTGACGTCTGTAGTTCCGGCTACTTGGAAGCCTGAGGCTGAAGGATCGCCGGAGCCCAACAGGTCGACGCTGGGGTGGCCGAGAGCGTGCCACTGCACTCCAGCCTGGATGGTGGAGTGAGACTCCAGTTCAAAAAGGAAAAAAGGGACGCAGGCATTACCATCACCCTGTAGAATGGAGCCTACTGAAATGTGGCACAAAGGAAGCAGAAGTCCATGCCATTCTCACCCGTCCTTAAATCTGCACAAATTACTTTTGAGACAGGGTTTCACTGTTGCCCAGGCTGGAGTGCAGTGGTGCGATCATAACTCAACGCAGCCTCAATCTCCCGGGCTCAAGCGATGCATCCTCTCACCTCAGGCTTGCGAATAGCCAGACTACAGGCACTTTTCACCACACCCAGCCAGTTTTTGTATTTTTTATAGAGATGAGTTCTCACTATGTTACTCAGGCTGGTCTCAAACTCCTGGCCTCAAGAAATCAGTCCTCCTGCCTCAGCCTCCCAAGGTGCTGGGATTAAAGGTGTGAGCCACTGTACCTGACCTGAACTTTTAAGACCCTTTTTAATGATAATCAAAATATTACATGGGATATAAAAGGAAAAGCAGAGCCAGAGATACACAGGGAGGAGGAAGAGAGCTGTAAGAATCAGAATTGACACTGTGTAGAACAGATTTGCTGGCAGCCCGTTTACAAAGACTTCAAGTTTTCAAAGACTTAAAGTAAAACTACGACGACGTGCAACCCAGCCAGACTGATAGACTACTAACAACTTCTGACAGAATGCTCACGTGATTACATCGAGACAAACACAAAAGTATCAAACAACAAAAGCATCACTGAAGTATGTGTTCGTCCCGCCGTGGGAACTGCCAAGGGTCCCTCCTGGGGAGGGTTTCGTTGTGGGTTTCCCATCTCCTCATGGTCACGTGTCACATGTTACTGTTTCTAGCATCCTTTCTGTCCAGTGGCACGGCCACCCACCCACAGCCCCAGCCTTCGGCCTGCCACCTGTTCTTTCATGGCTGGACACTGCTTGAAATTCAAACACTATTCTGGCATTTGCTCTCATCCAGATCTGTTACTGAATGCTGTTGTCATCTCTTCGAGTTGGTGTATTCTGGGGTAGGTAAGTGATCTCTCTCTTTTTGTGAGTTGGAGTCACTCTTGTCGCCCAGGCTGGAGTGCAGTGGCACACTCACGGCCACTGCAGCCTCAACCTGCCGGGCTCAGGCGATGCTTCTGCCTCATTCTTCCAAGTAGCTGCAACTCAGGAGTGTGCCACCTCACCCGGCTAATTTTTTGATTTGTTGTAGCGATGAGGTCTCGCCATGTTGCCCAGGCTGGTCTCGAACTCATGGCCTCAGTCAATTCTCAGGCAATCCTCTTGCCTCCGTCTCCTACACCTGGCTGTAAACGGTATCTCATCCTCACACTAGTAAGTATTCTCATCATCGTTTTGTTTCTCAACCACATGACGAACAGTCATGCTACAATCTGAATGACTTCTACAATCGGCAGACGTCTTGCTTGCCATTCCTCCCAGCAGCCTCGAGACTTGGTCCTACGATGTTCCTGGACTCATGTGTGTTCACAGTGACTCCGGTGCAGAACACACAGGCTTGCAGGGCTCTGGCTTCGGCGTGGAGACCCTTCGGGCGCAGCCGCACCAGCCTGACCGCTTTTCGGAGGAAGGTTCAGTGTGTCACTGACAGTGTGGTCCACCATGTAACAGGAAGAAAAAGCACATCTACTCCCGGGTTCTTTCTGGACGAAAAAGACAAGATATTAAAGGCACTAGCTTTAAAAGACCTTTTATTAATCTTACACATTTACAACTTGTGGATTAAAATATTTAGCCATTTAAGATGGCTGGGTTATTTGGTTTGGAAGAGGTCTCACCTGCTTACTGTAACATACACTTGTGTTTTGGTGCAAGAGAATTCCAGGTTATCATTCTAACTTTTTACGTTCTTCTTCTACTAGATATTTTGAACCCAAGCAGCTGGCTGTCGTAGAGAATTTCAACGACAGCCCATAAGCAGGCTTTCTAGAAAGTTCTGCATCTCTGAAAAGAAGGTCCCCCTGACCCTTAACCACTGCCACATAACAGCTCCTAAACGACCTACTTGAAAAGCACATTCCAGTACGAACAAGGAAGACGCTGAGTGAGCGCCAGTATGCACTGGGAGTCTCCCAAAGGAAACGTTCAAATACGTAACAGTGATTAAATAACGAAAACAGATAAATAACTGAAAATTAACCGGATTCTCTTCAAGAAACGCAATGAGGGGGACCATGGAGGCACCAGAAGGATTCAAAAACCCCTTTGGGCCACACGGTCCCTCTGTACACATTTTGTTAGACCCCGAGTGAAAACATTTTAAAGCTTTAAGAAAATTACCATAAATCACTTGCTCTATAACTCGTGTCTTTCATGGTTCCAAGCAGTCATAATGCTGTAGTTTATTTACTTAATTTTATATGAAGATATAAAAAATAAATACTGCCATGCACAGCCGGTGGACGCTTTAAAAACCCACAAATAAATAACTTGAAATGCCGGCTAGAGGACACGCTCCCGCAGACTTCTCAGCCGGGACGGAGGACTCGAGCAAGTCTGAGCTGTCACAGCATTCTCAGTCGGAGAGAGCTGCAGAACGAGCCTCTTAATGCCCTTCAAGGCTCAGAGTGTGATGAGAAGGAAAAAGAACACGTCAGCCAGACCTGGAGTGCCAACACCTTTCCCGCCGGGCCTCGGACCGCCGAGACCTGTGAAGCAGGCCGCAGGCCGCCCCCCAGGGCCATGCCGGCAACGCGGACGGCGCGAGGCCGGCGCTGGCCAGTCTCTGTCCTTCCCCGGCCCCTTCCTGTCCCGGGTCCGCTTCCCGACGCGCCCCTGGCCGGAAAGAGGGCGCTCACGAGAGGGCGCCGGGCTCCTCGTTGAAGCTGAAGTCGCACACCAGAGACAGGTGGTCCGAGGGGTAGCTGAAGGACGGGAGCCGGCCGGGCCCGATCTGCTCCTCGGTGAGCAGGCCCAGCGCCGAGCGCACGCTCAGCGCCCGCTGCGAGTACCAGATGTAGTCCAGGGTGTGCCGGCACTCGCCCGAGGTCCGGATCTTCCAGGTGGTGTAGGGCGGCTCCGACTGCCCGTCGGCGCTCAGCAGCTTGTAGGCGCTGTTGAGGTCGAGGCTGGAGGCGGCGAAGCGCCGGTAGACCTCCTCGGTGGGCTCCGCGTTGAAGTCCCCGCAGACGATGAGGGGGATCTTGGCGCCCTGCGTGATGCTCTGCAGGTTCTGGAGGAGGTCGCAGCCCTGGGCCGAGCGGAAGCGCTCCCAGCCCGTGCGGGCCTTCAGGTGGGTGACGGCGATGCAGAGCCGGCGGCCCGACGCCCTGCACTCCAGGGTCTGTGCGATGGCCACCTGGTTGGTCTTCAGCGTCATGGCCGTCAGCCTGATGTTGGCGCTGCTGACCAGCTTGAAGCGGCTCTGGAGGAAGAACAGGGCACAGCCGTCGGGGCCGTTGTTGTGCGCCACATCCAGGCAGGGGGACCAGGGCTTGGGGAAGAACGTGCCCTGGTAGCCCAGCCTGCTGAGGAGGGGATGGAAGGTGTCGAAGTAGTGGTCCACCTCCTGCAGGCACAGGATGTCCGGCTGGTAGGCCAGGAACTCCTCCAGGATGAGGCACTTCCTCTCCTCCCACCTGAGCGCCTCCACCGGGCACTGGACGAAGTTGTCCTTGCCTTCGCCGAGGGCTGGAAAGGAAGAGGCAGCAGCTGTCAGTGACCACAGACCACGGCCCGGGGCCCGGGAGCGGCCAGGCGGGGCACTGCTCGGGACCCTCGGACGCTCCCTTGCTCAGATGCAGGGGTGGAAGAGAGGAGGGGGGCTCTGTCCAGACGGCACCACCCAGCCAGACGCAGTCACCTCGTGTCACCTGGCCGAGGCAGGTGCCTGATCTGCTTTATGCAACTGTAATTCCAGGATGTACCATCTTTGGTTCTGGCCTTAACAGGGAGACAGTGTTCTCGGCAGTCCCAAGGGGTCTAAATGATGTCACATGAAATACAGATATTTAACTCTAAATACTAGTTTTAACACTGACTAGAACAAAGCCGCATGAACTGCTTTAAATAGACACTAGCTACTCAGAAGGAAGAGAACCCGTTTTGGATGGGCAGCTTTTCCTACTTAAGAATGAGCACCAGAAAAAAAAACAGAAGAATCAAAGACTAATACATAGGGAGATTTCCTTCTTTTCCAGAAAAAAAGAAGTCAAGTCTTGTGTCTTCTTCTTGAAATTTCAACAGCTACATAAAAGGCAATGCTATAGAAAGCTGATCGACTTATCTGTTTTTGAGCTTGGCACAGCGGCCCTTTCTACTGTAACGAAGTAGTACTCTAACGCCGGGTTCCCCATTAGGAACTGGGCTGCACAGCAAGAGGTGAGCACGGGGGCGAGAGAAGCCTCAACTGTATTTACAGCCACTCCCCAATGCTTGCGTTACACCTGGCTCGTCTGCTGTCAGATCTGCCGGGACTGGATTCTCATAGGAGAGCGGCCCCTATTGTGAGGTGCGCACGTGCCGGGCCAAGGTTGCGCGCTCCGCATGAGAATCCAGTGCCTGAGGATCTCAGGTGGAGCTCGGGCAGTGATGCGATATATTTCCATATCTATTACAACACAAGAATAGCAGGTAATAGAAATAAGTGAAATAGAAGTAAAGAACACAGTAAGCGTAGTGTGCTCGAATCACCCCCAGACACCTCCCCCGTGGAAAAACTGTCTTCCAGGAAACCAGTCCCGATGCCCGAAAGGTTGGGGACCGCTGCCTTAGCGAACAGAGAACCGAAGCAGCGTCTTGGTGGTCTCAGGCTGCAGGGGTGAGGATGGCTGAGAAGCCGACCACGAGGACACCCAGACCCCGTCCAGCACCGCCCACTCCCCGCGGAAAGCGTCATCTCCCGTCCAGTCTCCTCCCCACCCGCCAAGGCCCTCAGCGCC